GTGACTCGAACATCGAACTATCTTAAGAGGCCTTAAAAGCAACAATTTTTGACGACGTGCCTGTTTGGCACAAACCTTTTTGTTGCAAGGCTCTTCAGAGAACATAGACAAGTAGCAAATAGATGCCAGGCACTGAAACATGCGAAAGGTGTGAAGCGTTGGAAGGTGGCAGTAGCCCTTGTGCAGAAGTCTGCGAAAACAGATTTTTCTGCCTTTGTCAAGTTGCTGTGTAAATGGAAGAGATATGAAAACAAAAGGCAAAGCGAAACAACAGGTATCACGATTAAGAGAGAAACCTTCGAAGGGCGAACATCAGAAAGCACGATTTTAAGGCCTCAAGAAAGGAAATTGCCCAGTTGAGGCGGAACGATAGGTCGAGGCTTTTCAATCCACCCTTGAAAGCTCCCAGAAAGTCGCAGACCGCTTCAACTAGCATGGCGCATGCTTGGCACATGTCTGTGATGTGGGGTCATTGATAAGATTGATAAGTGCGCATTAGCTGTTCGGGCGAGAGAACCAGGACCCGGCCCTACCGTAGCAAGCCTAGACAATTCCACACCAATTTGGATGGAATCGGTTTTGATTCATGCGTGTTTTGTTTCTAACCTCCACATGACAAATACGAGGATGTCGCAATAGCCATCCCAGCCCCTGTCAGGTTTGGGCCTAACTATGGTTGAGGCCGCGGTGTCAAACCATGTGGGACGGCAGATTTTGCACGGCGTCGCTCAAGGGGGCTCGCTGTCACGCACGGTGCATCCAACTTGGGGGCCGCCTTGGGAGTGTTGGGGCAAGATTGGGGGAAAAACAACATGTTGTCCGCAACCTTAACGTTCGTTGAGACTCATCATTGTGACATAGCAGAGACAATTCTGTGTTGCTGGGAAGTTGCGAATCCAAGCAAGGCCAAGGAGGAAAATTAGGCCACGGTGGCATGTGAAAGATACCTTGAATACAGTTATCTTCATGAGGAAACAATATCACCTGATCATCATGAGGGATCAAAATCTGCCACCGCCTATGACCAACATGCTGAACGGGCTAACAACACACCACCCTCTATGGCCAATATGTTGAATCGGGTAATTACATCAACATTATCTTCATGAGGGAACAGAATCCGCCACCCCCTATGACCAATATGCTGAACGGGCTAACAACATCAACTTTATCTTCACGAGGGATCAAAGTTCGCCACCTCCTCAGAACAATATGTTGATTGGGGAAATAATATAAACTTTATCTTCGTGAGGGATCAAAATCAGCCATCCCCTCTGAACAATACGTTGATTGCGGGACATCAACTCCGGGCAAACGTCCAGGTTGCAGTGAACATGTTTTCATAATATAAATCGGTGTGTTGTTTTGACTGATCCAGAATTGATCCAGAATTGGATTTGGGAGACAACATGTTGTAGCCTGTGAGCTTTTTTCAGCGATTATTCGGAAGTTTGATGGTTTTCTGTTTTGTGGCTCCAAGTATTTGATATTTTCCACCTCATGTGGAATGATGATCCCAATTGACTTTCATATATTTAGGATATGCGGAAGCCAGCCATATTGGGATGATCACCAAGACTTTGCAATTGAATCAAGAGTCTTACGTAGACGATCATAGACAATGTTATAGTATATATATATACAGGTATATATGATATATGTAGATTATTACTGCGTGCATATAAGCTATTTTTCATATCACGAGCACATTCCAGTCCTAAGGGGTTATGACCTAGCAAACCATTTAGCGTTTTGACTGTAACTGGCCAGGCGAGCCTTTTGCGACAGCATCCCAATGCCACCCTCCAAGCGGAAGTGGACGTGGTTACGCTGGACTGGTATTTGCAATCGCAAGACTTCGAGGTGACGACAAATAGAGATGGCATGTGGAAAGTTTGAAGATTTCAGTGAATCCCAGTTGGTCGCTGAGTAATTACTGTAGGTACATTAGGTGCTCGTGCCATGGAAAGGACTGCCATAAAGTTGTTCTCCAGTCAGCGGCGAGAAAAAAAAATAGGCCGATCAGCTGATCGCAGGGCGAGATTTTCCTGTTGAAGATCGATGCTGAAGGCTTTGACCCTTTGGTGCTCAGAGGAGCCAAAGAATTGCTGCGGAAGCACCGGGTCAGGCAGGGGGCATTTACGGCTAACCTTTAGGGATTCAATCGGGGGGATTGACTCTTTAAATGATGAAAATGAAAATGATGATGATGATGATGATGATGGTGATGATGGTGATGATGATGATGATGATGATGATGATGAAAATGATGATGATGATGATGATGATGACGATGACGATGACGATGACGATGATGACGATGATGACGGTGACAATGACAATAATGCTGATGATGATGTCGCAGCTGCTGCTGCTGCTGATGATGATGATGATGACGACGATGATGATGATGATGCTGATGATGATGCTGATGATGATGCTGATGATGCTGCTGCTGCTGATGATGATGATGATGCTCAGGTTGCTGATGCTGATAATGATGCAGCAGATGATTCTGACCACTTGACCGTGAGGTACTTGATCTTCGAAGTTGACAGAGTTTGGGCATCAGCGGGCCACGGAATACGATTCGACCAGGTGGGAGTGTCTCAATGTGACGACACTTGTGACAACAACGTCTGCCACTTGGATGATCACGCCCCAGGAATCTGAACTCTTAGTGACCTACTGACCATGATTGGGGACACCTTTGTAAGCACGGTTGCCATCTACCAACTGGAAAATTCAACCCAGCAGGCACCAGAGTCGGTCAATGTCTACCCGCATTATGCAATCCCTGCTTTATCAGTAATGGGGGGGATAGTATTCTTGAGAGTATTTTGTCAGTTGTTATATCTTGTTAGTTATTGGATTTTTTTGGGTAATCCCAACTATACAGGTTGAAATGATCTTGCATTGATCTGATTTATATCGATAACCGCTGTTCTTCAGTCCAACAAATCCTCTCATCTTTGGTCAGATCCTCCTGTTAGATGTCCGCCACAGACAGTCAAAGAGCTGTACGAACTGGGTTACCTTTGCTTCGTGGTCCATCCCAAGGCGCTCCTTTTGACTTTGACGGCGATGCAGAAAAAAAACCCGAAATTCCAACATGTGAGAGAATCTGGAGGAAAACATGGGAAACCGGCTCAAAATCCAATAGTTTCTCACCATTTTTTCTACTGATTAATCCTACCATTTAATACCCCACTATGGTTTGTTCCGTTGTTTTTTGGATGATCACACTGTAGAAAAAGGACAGTTTGGACTCATACCAATGTCTCAACCGGAGTAGTTCCCTGCTTTTCAGGAACCCGAAGATTCCATCATGGCAGTTGAATTCCCTGCCAGGCCTTAGTTCCCATCTACGCTTTCTGGTGGCATCCCAGTTTTACCGACAATACCTGGACAAACGCGACTTGTTGCAAACAGTTCCTGGTGGTTTTTCCATGGGCAAATGAGCAGCTGAAGGGTGAGAGCATGGACAGCACATACATTGTTTTGGCAATGCATGAAGGGAAGGCATCTTTTTGTGCTAATGGGTAGTTGTCGATTGCGTCGCAGCTGCTTGTGCTTGTACGCAGTTGACATTTTGTATCTTTGGCCCGATAATCTTAAAGCAGACGGTTCCCTGGGTTTCCTGAGTGTTCTCCCCTTGTGATTTCTCAAAGTGTTTTGGATTCTGATAAGCTATAATAACATATCTATATGCAATGTGTGGATGTTGAGATGCTGTGCCCTTCTACTTCGTGTTCTTTTGCCTTTTCGGCCACCAGGTGTTTTGCGCTTGTGAATTTGACCCAGAACTCTTTGCCATCTATCTCTCCTATACGGACTCTGCGTACCTTATTGCAGTTTGGTATGCTGCCGTGGAGTTGCAGCAGCAAAGCAGCTTACCTCCGGCAAAGCCCCGGCGCGGAAGAGTTGCAGAAAAGCAGTTTCACCATGGATTGGGTGAGGGACATTTGGAAAAAACATGAAAAACGATATAAAGGAACAACTTTGTCAGGTCTTTTGGAACACGAAGGGGTAACAAAGATTGGAGGAGAAACGTGACGCTTCCAAACTGGAGAATCATCAATACAACCATGACGCCAGGAAAGATGCAGGAAGGGTTGTAGAAGCAAGAGCAATATCATAAAACGAGCGGGATGGAATCGATGACACGATGATAAATGATTGCTAATCTTCCGAAGTATGCTGAAATTATGGTTTCTGCTGTGTCTATGTCTTGGCCAGGGATGAATTCATCAGCGAAGATACAGTCTTGAACATAGCTCCACGTGCCAGGTATCTGTCTCAAGGACCCGTGTTTGGGCCTGCAGGGCCTTGTGGTTTGAAGCTGCTATAGAGTTGGAAGTTCTCTACAGGACCCATGAGCTGGGGTTCATTTAGAATCATAATTTGGTTGCTGGAGTCAGGATTCCTTTTAGTTTTGTTTTATTTCCATCCTGTGTACGATGTTGACTCCAATTGACTATTTGGGAGCGCGGGGTGGCTGACAGACCAGTCACAGTTGCCAGGAGATGCGAGAGTCCTTCGTTGTCAGTTCAGGTGCTTCAATCGTTGTGGATTGGTAACCGGGCGGAGCTGAGGTCTCGTTGATTCATCGAGCTTGCCAATGCTTTGATCAAGTTGATCAAGTGCGGCAAAGACAATTATGCAAGTCTTGTGGGGTAGAGTAATGTAATACTATTTGTTGAAGACACCGTAGACACCAGAACTACGCAGTCTTCACCATGCTGTTGATGTCGTTGCAGGTTGCTGAACCTGGATCGCCAAGCCTAGAAAAAGCAGGGGCAATGCCTTTTGAAGAGAAGGCAAGCTTCTTTGCAAGGATATGATGGGTGAAGTATGGTAATGTCAAGATAGAGAAAGACATCTGTTTTATGGGGCGAAGGATGCCAACACGTTCCCGGAGCTTTGTTGTGAGATGATCCTTGCCATTGAAGGATTTTGTAAATGCGGTCTTGGTAAAGGCAAGCAGCGGCAAGCAAAGACGGGACGGAGATGAAGACACAGATGCTAATGATTCGCTAATGGGTGGGATTCAGAGTTCCACTGAGTTCCACTGAGTTCCACGTCTTTCTTACACCAAAGTAATTTCAGAGAACAAAACATCGGATGCCGCAGACCGAACCGTTGGACTGGTGCACTTCTGCTGTGTGCATTCCGTGCCGCCAACACGGCAGTTGGAGCAGCTGGAGCACTTCTGTCTGGACCTCCGGGAAACTTTGGAGGACTGGCTTCTGGTGTGAGAATGATGTGATGATCTGATTGTAAAGGGGGTTACAACATCATCATATTATAGAATAGGAAAAACACAAATACTTGAATGGATCTTGATCAAGTTGATATGACTTGATGGCGATGGGAAGGTGGAACGGCATGAGTTTTCCTTTCGGCGCATGCCAGCTGGACTCATTTCGCAGATCGGTGGGCTCAGCAGTGGGCGCTTCACCCAGGATATGATACTGTGACTGCCATGTATGGGGGATCTATGGATGCATCGAGAGATATCCAGAAGACAGAACATGCGAAATGCACTATATGTATATATACATAATTATATATATATACACAGTGGAAGAGTTAAGAAGTCAAACTTCCGACAATATGTACAGATGGAAAAGCAGAGGTAGGAAGAATCAGAGAAGAGAAGAGAAGAGAAGAGAAGAAGAGAAAAGAAGAAAGAAGATCAGAGAAGAGAAAGAGTCAGAAGAAAGAAGATGCAGGTGCGCGAAAAGGTAGAAAAGTCGCGAAACATTGTGTTTTTCCAATGATTTGTGGCTCCAGAGGGTCGAAAAGTAGGCTCGCTAAATCGGCGGTTGCGGAGCCATCTGGGCAGATGAGAGATGAAAAATTGCACGCCGTTGTGGCGCGAAGCACATTTCCAAGTCAAAGTGCACAAAACACACCATGCTCGGACCAATTTTGGAAGTTGAGATGTAAAAAAAGCGCGCGCCATTGTGGCGCGAAGCACATGTCGAAGTCAAAAAGTGTAAAATACTAGCGATCTTGGAGCACTTTTTGAGGTCAGCCAAAAGTGAGCAAAACGTGAGGGTTTTGTAGCATGTTCAAAACGGTCGGCAGGCGTGGGACATGTGAAGAGGATCCGCAACATCAGAGATGTTACTGTAGGAGGTCAGGGCGGAGATTTCCTGAGAGGGGTTGCATTTTGGAGCGTCAGATCTTCAGGTTTGCTAAGGTGATTTTGCGTGACAGGTGCAGCACCGCATGACCTGGCATCACTGTTTCGTGGCAGTGCAGTACTTTAGATAAATGGAATGGAATAATTGCAAAACGCTTTGGTACGAGGCCGTCAGCTCTGCACTCAACTTTCCGTTTTTGAATCCAACCTTTCAGAATTTGAGGAAGTCTCGCAGAATTGCTTCGTTCTTGACGTTGTCAAGTTCAAAAAATGAGGAAGTCTGGCAAAATTGCTGCGTTTTTGATGTTGTCAAGTTCAAAAACTGAGGAAGTGTCGCAGAATAGCTTCGTTTTCAAGCTTGCAGACAGACAGATAGATAGAGGGACAACGACACCACACTACAGCTACAATTACACCACAACCTCAGATACAGCCACAGCCACAACCACCACAACTCCTACAACTACTTCAATTACTACAACTACATTTTCAACTACATTTCAGCAACACTACAGCTACATCTACAGCATTACAACTTCAACAACATCAACTACACTACAACTACAACTACAACTACATTACGAATACAACTACAACTACAACTACAACTACATTACAAGTACAGCTACAAATTCAAATACAATTACATTGCACTTCGCTATGCCACACTACATCCTGAAGTTGTGGGTGAGGTGGCCACTGCAACTACTCCAAAATTCACAACCACCTTCGGTCCATCAGTGGATTCGCTCTGCCATCCATTCATCACAACAATTCACCTCTCCTATAGTTTACTATCTTTGAGACTTCCACCACAGCCTTGCGCGGTACTACTGGTAGATGCATATGTACGCATATACTGTGTACATATCCACATACATATTGTAAAACTAGTACCAGGCCCCGTGCCTATCCTATCATCCTCCTAAACTGAAGGACCACCTGATCCAATCACACACCTTTGGCCCTCCCGAGCCACCAGAGAAACCTCACTTTATGGCGGCGCTCACACCGTTCGAAAGTCCCGGGCCTTCCTAAGCCCTCGTGCTGAAGTGACTGAGCCACATGCAGGCGGCATCCACTGATGTTTGGAACCCGCTTGGAAGAGGACCCTTGGCATACAACTCGTTGTGATGTGCTTCCAAGAACATGTGGAATATGAACGTCGCTCGGAACGAAAACACAACATATATACACACAGATACATATGTGTATGTATATACATATATAATATATATATATATATACACATAAGCGCATGCATAGACAAGAGCACACATGAGACGAGACGAGATGAGACGAGATGAGACAAAATGATATGATATGAGTGATAGATTCGATTAGGTTACAGCATATAGATTAGGTTAGATTAAGTTAGATTAAATTACACTAGACTGGGCTGGATTAAATTAGATTGGACGAGATTAGATAGACAGACAGATAGAGTAGGTAGGTTAGGAAGGTAGATAAGTAGATAGATCCCAAACCCATGTATTTTAATTATTTTTAATGGGGTCGATCATCAATCCACTACTCCAAGAACTTGGTGCCTCCGGCCGAGATCCAAGTGCTCACAGGACCGGCTCCTGCTGGTGCTGGCGGACCTCGAAAAGCAAGTCACATCCTCAGGAGCTGACGTGGGTCTAATAGCTGGAGGGGCTTAACCGCCCAAATCATCCCAAATCAAAGGCAATTTTAATGTGGACAATTTGATAATCGGGAATTTGGGTGTAGCGTATCTCAGACAAGACAACATGGAGATGCTTGGATCTTGGATGGATAGTTATCCTTTTTCGCTGGTTTTTTGATTAATCAAATTGAAGGATTAACCCCCAGATTGAGCAGACCAAACCAGTCGTACTTTTTCCCAAATTTGACAAGCCTTTGTGAGGCCAGCATGTCGTGGTTTGGACCCTCCCTGCTTCTGGCTTTGGTGATTCGGAAACAAACCTTGAATTTGTTTTTAGACATAATTAAAGCAGGTACACCTGGAAGGTATCATCGCAACCCAATCGACTCACTCACTCCGACTGATTCCCTCGACGCTTGAGGTCCCTGATCTGCTGCAGAAATTCCAGCGCGGGGTCCAAACCATGTCCATGGCATAACAGCCTTTAAGTCGGAAGATGCAGGGGAAGAGCTGATGGATTCGTCCAACATAGACATATCCAGCCATTTCCTGCACTCAACTTTTGTCTGCACATGTCCATCAAACATCAGGAAACGACGGGAGTGAGTTGTCAGGAATTGGCTAGCTGCTACTGAGGCGGGAGTCAGAAGATGGGGCTGAACGTGCTGAAAAACTGAGAGAGCTGGAGGCATCAGATATGGGGGAGATTGGAGCGAAAAATCAGGGAGATTAACCGCAACAAACAGGGGATATTCGTCAAATTTCACACGCGATGTGAATGGGGATGACCGCATAGACACGGGATATTGATAAACATCAAATAAATATTTGTTGAACGAACAAAGGAGGGGAGACCCGAAACGTCCAGAAATGTGGGTAGGTCCAGGTTGGGATTCCTATGATGTGCTACAGCAATCCATAGGCCACAATGGGCGTAAACACTAGGACTGGGGTTGGGATTCCCAGACGGATCCAATTGTGTTGTCTTGGACATGTGGGTGCACTATGATGCAGTTTTTGGATATCACACCCAAAGAATCTTGTGCCCCAAAGAATTCAAGTCTGGTATTCTTGGATCATCTTGGATCATTGCAGGAATACAGAACAGAATATATATATATATATTATTATATATATAATATTATTATATATATATATATTATATATAATATATATATATATACACATATTTGAGCTTTTTGGATAAGCTCAGAAGTACACGATCAGCTTCCAAGACTCCTTGCTTGGACTACGGTCTTCACAGTCTTTGTTGATTTTTCACTCCATTTTGGTAAGTTTTGAAACAGAAAATCATGTGCGTTGAGTATGGTTCTTCAGACTTTACTATCAGTCCCATCTTTTCCACTTCACCTGGACCATTGGACCATGGAGAGCCCTCTGGATCCCAGCAATTTGGCGCGTGGGCAAACGGGTCGCCGTTCCTGGGCCGCGGAGTTTGCCTTGGCACAGCGCTGTGCCGATCCGGGGACGGCCTTGGCGAATCCCCACACCTGGCAGCGGGTGGCCCTGGCCGTGGATGACTTCCCGGAGTTGGATCACCTTCCGTTGCCCAAAGTTCTGTCGGAGGATGCCCCGACACGGACCTATCGGCAACGGCTGGAGGAACCCAAGAGTACGGTACATTGGGGACAGCGGAAACTCTTTATGGCGGAACTGGAATTTTTACTGGATTTTGCGGAGGAAGCAAAGCATTTGATTTATGCGGGGGCTGCTGAGGGTCAGCATTTGGCAGTCCTTTGTGAGCTTTTTCCAGATATTCAATTGGACGCGTGGGATCCGAGACCCTTTGCAAAATCAGCCCTGCCACCGGCAGCTCCCCCAAATCTTCGTGTGCATCAAGAGTATTTCACTGATGACGTGGCACGACACCTTCGCTCGACCTTGTCAGAGGTGCCGCTGCTGTTTGTCAGCGACATTCGCACGGCCAACTGGCAGAAGGACACACCGGAAGAACACGACCAGCGGTTGTTGGGAGATCTCAAGGCACAACAGAACTGGGTAGATCTGTTGCGACCCACCAGAGCCCTGTTGAAATTTCGCTTCCCCTACACTGAAGGTTGCACCGAAGGCCTGGCTGGGGAGATGCGGCTCCCTGTGTGGGGGCCGCAAACTACCACGGAGTGCCGGTTGCTAGTGACACCTCCTAGCAAGGACGTACCTTTAAGCACCAAATTTTACGATCACAAATGCATGTGGGAGCAATTGTTCTACTTTAACACCGTCACACGGATCTCCATCTACCCACGGCCCAGCTTTGTTGGAGCTGGAGATGAAGAAACTTTGAAGACCGTAGGACTTTGTCGCTGTTTCGACTGTAGCAGGGAGGTGGACCTCTTGGCCACCTATCTGAGGCGACGACAGGTGGCCACTGCTGATTTGGTGAGGGCACTGGTTGAGCTGGCCCGGGACGTCTCGCTGGGCTGCGGCCGTGGACCCAGTGGCCTCCTGGATGCACCAACGGCTCCATGGCAGGCCCAAAGTGAGGCACCTGCGAAGCGGCCAAAAAGGGGAACGGATACGGATGTCCAGGTGTCCCAGAGTCTTCGGCCCCAAATACACTGGATTCACTGGATGTTACCAATCATGTATTTTTGCGAGAGTATGGCTTTGCAATTCTGGGACGTAATCATTTGGGTGCCGCAGCAAGCAGACTCAGTAGACCAGGAAATGGTGGACTTTTGCCTCCAACTTTGCGATGCCAGGTGAGGGTCGAGATGTTCTGCCGCCGCATGAGCACGCAGGAGGAAAGGCGAGGTCCTCGTAGCTCTGCAGCTTCTCGAGGTGAAGTGAAACTTAAGGATCTTTCAGGATATTCTCCAAGTGATCATCAAATATTAGAGAATCTTATGTTCTCAACTTGCCCAACCAACTTAAAAAGTTATGTGTCGTGAAAATTCAAGACAAACCGTGACAAACCCACTTTCATCAGGATTGTTTGATGCGATTTTCCTGACCAGATTGCAAAGTTGCGCAGAGCGGGCTGAGAAGAGCGTTGCGCTGCCACAGCTACTCGTTGGCAGCCGATGGAGCTGAACATGTCGAGGATGGAAATCTTCTTCCACTGATTAGATGAGACGATTTTCGTAAGACACTGGACTGGATTATTGATTATTGATCCACTATAGGCAGGCATCTAATTCCAGGAGGCCATGTCCATTATTGACAGCAATCATCATTGAGGCTTCGCAGCCTTTGTCGGGAAGAGTTGCAGAAAAAGCTCAGTGAGGCTTGAAGAGTGGAGACGTCACTTTGACCCCCGGATGAACTGAGGGATTTTGATGTCCCAAAGTCCCAAACAGATCTAAAGGGGCAGTTGTTTCACTTCAACGTGATGCAACCTGATGATACCCTCTCAAATCCTTGATGTTTGAGTGTTTGAAGACTACGTACTACTGAGCCCATGAGCCCACTACAACATCATCTGTCCAGCAGGGACCCTCCTTCCCAGGAGGATTTGCTGGGCACAACGGCCCTGGTACGGAAGCAGCAAGATGCACTCAATGAGGCAACTCGCACGACGGGTCTGGCAGGTTTCTGCCTCCATTTGGAAGATGAGCAGTAGCAAGACCCCAAATATCTTGGTGGGACTTGATACGAGATATTTCACACTCCTTGCTTTGCAGGCACCTTAGAGTACATGGATTTATCATGATTTAACCAACCGCATGTTGTTTTCTCTGCGTTTGCCCAGACCTCCACAATGCCCAGGTGCAGCTTCAACTGCAGAGGCTCCTGGATCGGCTGCACTTGGCTGGGCTTCGACAGGCGCCAGTCTTTCAGAGGTTTGGAGAGGAATGGCCTACCATATATATGTCATATGGGTAAGATAAGCCAGATTTGAATCTTTTGGCCTTGTGCTTATGCTGGCTTTTGGAAATGGTCTTGGTCATAAACGGGTTGACTTGACGCAGGGACCATGTTGCTGTGAGAGCTTGGACGCTGACTTGCCATTCGTAGTGTTGATGGATGTGGCTTGATAGGGGGCGTCGCTTGCTTCTCTAGTCGTGGATTCACACCCTTTTGATGGACACAATTTCTCCATTGGAATGGAGATACTAGTACTGATTTCGGACCTTCGCGCACAACGAAGACTCCAAGGGTACCAAGGGTCCCAAGGGCTCCAAGGGCCCCAACCCCATGGCACAGAGGCGGTTCTGAGCTGACCGCGCTGGGAATGCGCTGGCCACGGTTCTAGTTGTGACGGACTTTTTACGCGTCTCAGTTGGATGTTTGTTGCAGCACCTTCTTCCCAGCGCCAGCATCTCTCTGAAGTCCCTGTAGTTTAGAAAACAATAGAAGACACAGATGAAAACACGACCAAAGGCGTGGTGTTTGCCAGAAAACCTCCAGGACTTTGCGGAATCAAAGTGGTTGGAAAGTCATGAAATGTCATGAAGTTCTGGCTGCCAATGCAACTCTCGTTCCGCCTGCTCACCATCCGGAAAAGACATGAAAAGACCATGTTCCTCAAGCGCCAAATATCAAGATATCAAGTGGATGGGGTCAGGCTTCCTCCCCAAGGCAAATCCCAAGATGGGATGATCTTGGTCCGAGACGGAAAAACAGATGTTTTTTTTCTGGGTGATCAGTGAGTTTCCCAGGGAGTGTGAGCAAAAACTCCAGATGGTTTTCAGTTGCGGGAGATGCTCAAATCTCTCACCTATCAATCTACGGTCTGCTTGAAGGGGGTGATAAGAGGGAACCAGGTCATCTCCAGTTTTGGCAAGCTTTGGAAGTGCCTTCCTGCTGGATCCAAAACATTCGACCAGGGCTTCGAATGGCTATTTCTTATTATTTCATATTTCATTTGGTTTAATTTGAGAGAGAAAGGATTCATTTTTGATTCCAGCGCTGCAGCTTTGAAGCTCAAAAGAACAGTGACTTCAGTCAGCGACGCGTCTGCGACACCGAGGTGAGAACTTACCAGCGGTCGCTGGTGGTCAAACGCGGGAAACGCATGGGATTTCAGTACCATTCTTAGGTCTCTAAGGAGTAAACAGTGGGAAATCTCGTGGATGATGGGCTGATCAACTACCATTCATTGATGTCTATTTGGAGCGGGTCGTGCGACGAGGGATGCCAAACATAAGAGTTGTTGCCAGGAACACGCCCAAAATGAGGGGCACAATGAAGGAACATGACAGTTCTAGTGAAACAAGGCAAGAAAACTGAGAAGATCAAGAAACAGGGGGGTTCAACCGACAAAGTGCAATAAATTCTAGTAGGTATTAAAAGACAAGAATAGAGTATGTTAATAAACAATGGGGATGCAGTGCACTCCAGGCCCTGGCAAATGAACATTGTAATTTGATGTAATTTGTAAATCCCAAACTCAATAAGACACTGATTTACCAACAAGATCATTTTCATCACCTAAGATGAAGTGAAGCTACCTCAGTTACCTGCAGCACAGGGCTATACTAAGAACAAGGATGATGCCCATGGATTTGTGGCCGCCCAAAATGGGACACAGGCTATCGCGATGTTCCTGGTGAACTGGCCAGGGATCTTGGCGTGGCGTGCTTGCCTGCGTGCCCGTGATTTGGAGGGATCAGCTGATACTAGTGATCCCTATCATCTAATAATCTAATAATCTAATAATAGTGATAATAGTGATTGGATCTTTAGGATCTGTGATCATAGTGATGGTGATTTCGATGCAGGCTGCTAGTAGCGATTTCGATTTTGCTAAACTTAGGTGGCACGGTCATGGTGTTGAGTCAAGTTAAGAACTCCTGAGGTGTCAAAACTGTAGTTTTCCAGGGAGTTGACAAACATCTCAAAAATCCAAATCCTGAGGCCATCTGAGGCCCAATGGTTGTTTTTTCGACAGTGTGTTGCCAGAGTTTCCAGGTTCTTCGACGTGTTGGGCTACCTGGGCCTCAGCAACAAGAACGCGAAGATCTTGTTCTTGGGACCCTGACGGGAGAAGTCATAACAGTTTTCAATCGGAAATCACAGCCAGACTTGTGAAACTTGCAGTTGTCAGAAGGCCGAAACAACATGACAAATATGACAATTCATATATCTACGGTTTGTCCTTTTGAGCTGTGACTTGGGCTTTGTGTACTCCTATCCTGCGGACAGGACTTGACAATGCTGGCAAGACCACCCTTCTCCACATGTTGAAGGACCGTTGGCCGTGTGTGATAGATAATAGATATAATAGCGGACTGCACCTGGTTAGTTGCATCCAAACAATTCGACCTAATGGAGAGATTTGACCTTGTCCCTCCAGCATTGCTTTTGTTGTCCCAATGGCCCAAGAATAGATAGAGGGACAACTAACTGGCTAAAACCCCCAATATTTGTGTCTGAAAATTGGCGAATTACACAGGGAACATGGGAAAACGATGATCTGGATATGCCAGGATGACAGGATCGCCACCCACGTTCCTACGCTTCATCCTCACTCGGAGGTGCGTTCCACAGTGCAATGAGGCTGTGGATCATTCTGACTTAGACGATTTTAGATCTGAGTTGAGTTTGGACAAATTGTATGTAGATGTTGAATTATGTTGATTTGATATCGGTGTGACAACAGATCTGGTGTGACAACAGATCTGGTGCCACAATACGAATGGATTCCTCTACAGCAATTTCTAACATCGATATGCTACCAACAACATGGTCCAACTTGGGGTTACTTTGGGGAAAGGTGGCATCGCAGCTGTCACTCAATGAACAGTCCAGCCTCTGAGGTTTGAGGAAATTCATGGCGTAATGGGCTGGGTTCATTTTTTCACATGATCTTGAAATATCTTTATTCATATTCCATGTGTGGTTAGTTTTCACCACGGTGATCCATATTACTGTAGATCATATTGTATATCCACATTTTATTATAGTAGACCACTAATATCATTAGAGCCTCCCTTTATTAAATCCATATTAGTGGATGGTCGTCATTCAGGAGCTGATGATCAAGAACATCCGCTTCCGCACCTATGACCTGGGTGGCCACGAGACCGCGCGTCGGATCTGGAAGGACTACTTCGCCACCGTGGGGCAGCCAAGGCGACAGCTGAGAAAAGAATGCCTGGATCATGTAGACTTATGGTCACTTATGGTGTATATATATATACACATATACACATAATATTCACAATATATTCACAATATATATATATATATTATCATTATTATGTATATATAAATGATATTAATAATTAGCATATGCCATCATAGGAATCGTTGAGGGGCCGTGGTTGGATGGCGGCTCATCAGAGTCCACCAGCTAGCGAGACATCCCGGCGTACTTTGAGCGTGGCTTGGGAAATCCCGGCCCAATAGCTTACTGGGGTTTAAGATATACATCAAACCATGGCATTTTAATGGCATTTAACTAAGGTTTTAATTGTTCAAAAGATATCAAGTGGGAACCCTCCGGTAATCCAACCTGGCAATGGTGAATCCAGCATTTATAGATGTTTTTCCAGCTATAAACCTTCATTGATAGATATATACGTATATATGTATAATATACGTGTATATATATATATATACATATGTAAATATATAGAATGGATTTCCCAGTCTGCCACATTTGAACAACGCCCAGGTCGATGGAATCATCTTCTTGGTGGATGCCGCAGACCGCACGCGCTTTCAGGCCTTTTTAGAAAACCAACCCTGCTGGGTCAGCAGGTTTGTCCCCCCCGGCTGAAAAATGGTAAAATGAACCATGGGTCATCTTATAATACCATGGTTTATTGATGGTTATTTTTACCATTGATAGTTATTATAATACCATTATAACTGGTTTATTGATGATCAATGGGTCCCCCTGATTCATGGTTTATTGATTGATATTGATCATCCGATAGTTTAGATGATGTTGATGGATGGATAAATTGCGTTCCCAATTGATGATATTGGGACCATGATTTTTCACCAATGCTTTAGAAGACCATTTCCCCATTCATGATATGGATGGCCGTGACATAAGGTCTGCTTGCGTGATGTGATTTTTTTGGTTGAAGTCTTTCCGAGGATAAATCATCGAACCACCAAATTTTGTCGAACTGACACCAAGGTGCCATTTTTCATCATTTTTCTTTTGTTTGATGGGTTTCCAGCTCGTGTCAGTGGTTCAGCTGGTGTCAGGAAGCCAATGAGGAGTTGAACGGCCTTCTGAACGAGCAGGTGGGAGGGCGGCAATCACCTGTGCAACCCAGGTATGGGTCAGAGTCAGCATGATGATGTTGAGCAGTTGATGGTTTTCGTCCCGAACATCACGAGACCCACATCTCCCAGCTTCGAAGGCCCTGGCCAACGTGCCTTTCGTGGTGTAGAGCCAGCCATGTGTTACACGACGAGCATGTATGGTGACCTGTCGGGTTTGACTCACCGGGAATCCCATGGAGGATTGAAGGATATATATATATATAACGAAGCGACAGATTAGCCAGCCACATTCGATATCAAGGACTTTTCATACGCCGCCACCTATGCCAGGCTGGGCAACAAGATCGACATCCCTACAGCTGCGTCGGAGGATGAGCTGCGAAATGCACTCGGGCGCGGCCCAGCAGACCATTGGGAATATTGGGGTGGGCCTTTGGTGGAGTTTGTAAATTGATGTAAATTAAGATATCGCGGACTGCTTCAAGGACACACAGGGCACAGCAGTGCAGTGCCGCTGCGGCCTCTAGGTTCGTCTCATGCAGGTCTTGCCAGATTGCCCGAGTGGCGGATCGGCCTTGAAGCAGTGAAACCAGTCATATGTTGGTGACATCGCTGACATCGCTGTACTGTACACCGCAGTCAGCCAACTTGACATAAAGACCGGCAGTGGGCCTATGAATCCTCAGATCAGTTTTGGCAACATCAGAAAAAAGCACCTCACGAAACTCATCACGACCAAAAAGCCAAAGCACAGCCTTCCTAATCAAACCATAAAGAAAAGAAAGAGTGGGGCGTTCATACCGTGAATTCAAGGTATGAAGCTCCACTTCACCGGTCTGAGGGTTCCGAAACGGAAATTGGACACTGACATCCTTGGCCATCCAAACAGCCATCTCCTCAAAACACAACGGATAGACACAATCACCAACCGCCCTGTGCAAAAGCCAGGCCAAAATGGATGCCAGAAAACCACTGGGCAAATCTGCAGGTCTACTCAAATCATGATGGATCCGATACTCGACATCAGGCATGTACAAATCAGTCAAGGAAAATCGGTCCGAAACAAAACCAAAAAGTGAAACATCCAAGTCTTCCAGTGGTTCATTTGAATTGCTACGAGGTTGCGCAGCAACCCCAAAGTAAAAAGCCCTCAGTTGCCTCAGTCTGCCAGCCATCAATTCGTGATGTCGCAAAGCGTCAGCTCGAAGCTGCAGAAGAAATGCTGGTCGATTACTAGTGAGTGAATAAACCGACAGCAGCATCAACTCGGTCGTTCCAAAGGTGGATCCAGTCTTCAAAGGGGTCACAAAGTTGTTGAGGATCAAGATGACTGGGAACCCAATGCGGCACCAGGCGCAGAGAACCAAGTTGCAAAAATAAGTCTTGCAGCTGCTCCCAAAGATCTCGATGCGCCCAGTCGCCAATGGTGGTGTGTTGTTGCAAGAAAAGCAAACTTTCCACCACAAACTTGGAATCAATCCAAAGGTGAACATCAGCCGCGTAGCAGTTCTGCCAGGCCACAACGCTGACCACAGCACAAAGTTCTGCTCTATCATTCGTTTGGCAAAGCCCTGGCACATAGCCTATTGATACCAGTTGACCAGTTGAAGCACTCAACCCTCCCCATGATGCCAGTTGAAAAGGCAATCTCGGATTCAAGGCAGATCCATCGGTGAACACGTGTTGTATGCCCACCCCAGGTCTGGAAAGAAAAGTATTTTGGGTATCTTCTATGGCCATCAATGCACGCTTCCACTGAACCGCACAGGGAGAGCGTGACGGCAGCAAATGAGCTTTCAAGGCAGTAGTATCCAAAGAATGATGTGATTGCCAGGCAGCAATAGATGATCGCACTGAGCCAAAACGAGGGCATTCTAACCAATGCAGTTGAGTGTCAGGAACTCCACAAAGAGCGCAAGTGCAAGACTTCGTAAGGTCATACTTAGCATGCAGAGAGCTATCCATGAAGGCACCAGATTGCAGCGAACCCTGCAGCGACTGTTGCAAACTCGTCAATGATGAAGAGTCTACAGAGACCAAAAGCGGATCGAGTCCACAAAGGTCGGACATCGTCTTGCGAAGCTTGACCAGTCGCGAGACATGCTGTAGCCAGGCATCGTGCAGCAACGCAGTAAGTGAAGTGGCATCCAAAGTTCAGAGATGGTGAGCACAGCCATCATGGTCAATCCCATAAGGTGGTTCAATTTTCCATCCCACTTGGTTAAGGACTAGAACAAGTTGACTAAAGGGGCCACTAAAAAGGTTACCATATGTTACCATCAAAGCTGCACATAAAAAGACGCCAAACTGAAAACATTCTAGGCTCCTTTCTCACCAAACGAATAAAAGAGTGCACCGTCATCTGAAGACGCCAGAGGCCAGGGTCCGCTAATGGTGTCGTAGAAAGGGTCAACTTCACGAAACCATTGACGCCTGCTCTGGCCAGTTGAAGCGCGTTGAGCGCCGCTGTCCGCAAGTGATCCAAGTGCACCTCACCCAGACAAGAGCCGTTGATGCCATGCAAAGCTGATGTCCAACAAACTGTTGGGACTGCAGAAAGTTTCAGACGCAAAGGCGCCTTGCTCTGTCGCAGTCTTCGCCGCACCGCAGCCAACTTAGCAATGAAAGACATCACGCCACCAAGTTCTCTTGCATGTTCCACTCTTTGAAACGGCAACGCAACCAATTGGCGACGTTGTTCAGTGGTCAACGCCCAGCAGTAAGATTTGCCTTCGTCAATCTTCATGTTCCATAGTCTAAAAAACTCCAGCAAACAAACTAGGCCATGCGCCAGGGCACCAGTGACTTGAGCAACAACACTGAGGTTGTCAACAAAGGAAAGTGATCGGACGCTTGGGCAATACACCCTCATGTAGAGGTGCCAAGTGAAGCAAAGCTGTGTCATACCATAGACACTGAGCGCATCACCCTCGGGCATGCCACAGCTCGACGTAGTTGAACAGCTCGGGGAGCCACGCACTTCAAAAGATCGAGTGCAGTTGTCCAAGAACAGCTTCCAAGGAGTGGTGACACAACTAGGCACCCCCAAATGAGTAGCTAGAGCCATAGTGTGCTGGCGCGGTATGAAGTTGAAGGCCCTCTGCAAATCAGTGCTGAGTCCACACAGTTGAGAGTTGCATTTAAGGGAGTGTCAATTTCAGCTTGAAGTAGCGACCATAGCTGACTGGGCTCACATCCTGGCAAAAATCCATAAGCCTCAACGTCCATTCGTGGTGCCAGAGCTCGCAGGGGTTGCTGTGAGCGCAAACTGGCCCACGTCCGACAAATGACGCTGAAAATCACAATGGGTCTAAATCTGTCAACAGTTGATGCAGCAACATCTTTGGCAATGACACTGACCACCCCAAAAAGAAGCGCTGTGGGCCAAGCGGAGTTGCCCTGTTCAATGTCATGCAGAAGGTCAAGCAACCTTTGCGTCCAAACATCTGGGAGCGCCTGCAAGTCAACATGTGAAATCCCATCAACACCTCGTGCAGCAGTCTTTTTGTAGCGGCGTAAAGCCCGCTTCCATTGCCACAAACTGATTGTTTCCAGCTCAAACTTGAAACGAGGCACGTATGCTTGAAAGAAACTAATGACCCTCTGCCAGGTGTCTGCATCAACCGTCTCAAGTGTACCCCATGTAGGTTTCCAAAACGCAAGCAAGGATTCATGCAAGTCTTCAGTAGCTGACAAAGTTTGTTGTTGTTCAACTACATCCCCATGAGCAAATTGCGTGGCATCCATGACTTGAATCACAACCTCATTGATGGGTGTGACAGACAACTCAACTCCCCATGATCACTAGTCCACCGTGAGTGCCCTGTCTGGAAAAGAGGGGAATCAAGATGAAGTTGCGCAGTGTCTTCATCAATCGCCAGCACGGCAGCAAGTCAAGTCTTTCACGTTGTGGGGCCTTCAAGTCCTGGAAGATTCCAGTCATGCCCTTGTCATACTTGAGCCGCAGAAGCTTGACAGGTTGTCTCAGGTGCCATGACTGGTAGGCCTCAAAGGATTGCTTGAAGGTGGCAAAAAGAAGTTCCGCAACCTCCATCGTGGGTGGTGCCGTTGGCAATCTGCGTGGTGTGCCAGGCACTGAATGAGTTCTGCGGGTTTGCCACCAAGAAGAAAATCCACCATCAAAGACCGGTGAACGAAGAACTGCTGACCAAAGTTCCAGCCGATATGCTATAGCAGAGGGGCTCAATTTTCCCGGCTTGAATGCCCGCCAGGTAGCTCTGAAGTCTTCTAAGTTGACGAAACCATAGTTTGACTTCAGTGCCAATCAAGTCATTTCTAAGAACCACCTCACTGGGACGGCTGGGTTTGATGTGAAGCTGAGAAGCAGCTTTCACAGGCTGTGTCCGTTGTAGCCGCCCCTGCTGCGCTCGTTGTAGTTTTTGTTGTGGCTGACCTTGAACAAATCCATCTAGATTGCGCTCAAACGAGGATGCCCAGTCAGCCCATCTCACATCAACATCCTCCAAAGAAGTCCAAGACGGAGGTGAGGGGAGATGGACGTGGCCAGACCAATTGCGCAAGAAATTTGGTGGGAATAGCCAGGCTGACGGTCACAGTGCTGTGCTCAGCAAACACATCAGCCACATCAACTTGCCGACAGAGGGCAGCAGCTTCAGGACTGAGCCAAACAATGTCGCGCTCAGTCGCATGTTTGCAAGTGAAGACCTTCTCTTGATCCCACAAGGTAGAAGCCAAGTCTTGAGCTGAAACCCACCCAAGTTGATGCTAGTTGAAAATGAGCAACCCATCAGCAGTAGTGTTGCAATCGCCCCCCACCAGCCGAGGTCCACAACCTCCAAGTATCACTTCAGTAGTGAGGATGTCCAAAAAGGAACTAGTCAGCTCCGGCGCATTGGGCCATGTTGGTCCGGAAGGGTATCCATATACAACAGCATTGGTCCAATCGCATGGCGAGTGACAAGAACACGCCCACATTCTCGTTCCCCATGGTAAGGCAGTTGTACTTCGCTGGAAGGGTAGTCTGAAATGGTTGTGACACCCGACCAGGTACCAGCCCAAGTAGAGTTGGATCTCATGGCCACCGGTGCTCCAAAATGAAGTCGTAGGCGGCGATTCTGTTGATTGGCGATCTGCCGAGAAGTCGCAGCACAAGAAGCTAGCGTAGCTATGGAGTCTCAGAGAAAGACCAAACTCCTTCACCAAGTGAAAGCGCTGCTGGTTCCTTTTGGCGAAGGCCGGAACTGTTGGAAAATCTAAAGTGTTGTAGGTCATCAGGACCTGGATGTAGTGCTTCACCCCAACGTTGCGGAGGCAAGTTGGGTGATTGGAACAATTGCAATGCCTGGGCACCACAAAACTGCAGCAAAATGACAAAAGGCCAAAGCCATTGCCAAAGAAAAGTCCAAATCCATCTTGCTTGGCCTGGCTGCCCTAGTCACTCTGAGCGATGTTTCTTGCTCAGCAGGGCTTCAA